ATCATTACATCCTAATTCAATATTATTTTCAGAATCATTATTGGGTGAATGGTAATCAGAAGATGTATCCTGAGGATTACTAGAATTATTATCAGAATTACTAGTAGATTGGTTTAATTGGAAGATTTCAAATAATTGATTCTTTGATTCATCATTGATTTGGAGTTGATTAACTTTGTCTTTTAATTTTTGTTTGTCTTTACATTTATTAGAATAATAACCCTTTTTTCCACAATTATAACAAGTAATATCCTTAGTGGATTTAGATTTTGGATGTGATTTCCTATAATATGTCTTTTTAGGTTTAGTATAAAATTTATCAGTTGATTTGAAAGGTGAATTATTCTTTCTATATTTAGTAGAATATTTTGAAGAAGACTTATGTTTATTGTATTTATGTTTTTTACGGCGAGAAGGTGCTAATGGAGGTAAACCATATTGTTCACAAAAATTACTTAATTCAGATTTAGCTTTATGTTTCTCTTTAGCAGCTTTTTGACTAAGTTTAAGATGAATACACATTTTTAAATCTTCTTTTTGAATAGTACTAATAATATCACCATAAGTTAAATTATCATATTCAATAACACCTGTAGGTTGGCTAAGTACATCCCTAATTTTGTGGGTAAAGAGACTAGGTAATCCATTAATAAATTTTTCTTTCCAAAATGATTTAGTACAATCTTCTCTTAACATGACTCTAGAGGTAAAGACATCTTTATACCATCTAAAATCACTTGATGTAGGACAAGTAAGATTACTAAGTTGATCATGTATACGAGAATAAATATTAGTGGGAGCACATATAAAATGTCGAACTATGGTGTAAATTAAAATATTAATACCATCAGGTTTATAGTAGCCAATATTTTCATCAAATATAGGTAAACCATTTTCATCTTTTTGACTTGCATGTAAAATCGATTCTCGTTGATCTTTAGTAAGATATTTTTCCCACCAAGATTTGAGCATGCCAGTAAAACCAGAGGTGATCAATGAGACAATTTCAGGTTGAATATAATCAGGGTAATTACCAAAATAACTATTTGTAACTATGGATAAGTGATTTAATTTTTGAAGGATTTGATCTTCACTAAGACCATCGATATTCCATTCGTATAACTTTTTAGTAGATACAGAAAATTGATTACTAAGATTAGTTTCTTCATATTGGAGATCAGGTGGTGTGGGACAAGAATACCAATTTTTGGTAAGAGTGGTTGGAGTAGGTTTAGGATAATGAAGTTTATTAAGATTAGTCGTTTGAAATTGTTGAGCTAAGATATTGATTTTCTTATCAGTTGTATCAGTTTCTGATTGAGTAGAAATAAGTTCCAGAGTAGGTTGTTGATTTAAAACAGTAAGACTTTTTTCAGTAGAAGGAGAAGCTTGTTCAGTAGCTAATTTAGAGAATAATTGATCTATAACTTTAATAGTAGAATTATCTTGAGTTATTAGACTATCTCGTTTAGACAGATTACTAGGTAAATTTAATATTGGTTGGTCTAAAGTTTGTTTACTAGAAGAGGTGTGGTTAGTCGAATATTCTTCTAAGTTAGTTTCTATCTTATCTAATTGTTTGCCAATAGTTTTTAGGCATTGATTGGTATAATTATTTTGTTCAGTAACATTTTTGATTTCAGGGTCAGTGCTAGTTAATTTAAAAGGCGAAGCCTGAATAGTAGATCCTTGATGTTCTATAATTATGGTAGATAAGGGAGGATGACTATAATTAACGGTAGTAGTAGGAGAAGTTTTCCATTTATGTTTTGTAATTGTTTGAACTTCTTTATAATGGTCTTCTAAATATTCAAAGAATGGAATTTCAATTTTATGTTCAATCATAAATTTGTACCATTTACGAGTAATTTTAGATTGTTGATCAGAATTATATTTAAGCCTATAAGTATGACGTTTGGTTTTATTAATTTTAGATTTAAATTCAATGCGTAATTTATCAAGATCAGGAGCAAAAAGTTTACTAATGGTCATTAATTGAGGATTGATTGGAGGTATAACTTTGAAATCAGTTTGGGTTGGGGAATCTTGAGATTCAGTGTCATCTTCAGGTAAATGTGTGTGTTGAATAAACAGGTTTATTGATTTGAGAAGTGGTGGAGTTATCTACGCCTTTCATTTTACTATGGGAAGTTTGACTAATATGAATTTGACTATTTTTTCTAAATAAAGGTGTATTAAATATTTCATCTTCAGTTTCAACATCAGTAGGTATGCTAGAAGTACTATGACGAGAAGATTAAGATCGATTAAATTTAATCCGAACAGATCCATCAATAAATTGTTGAATATTTTGAATATCTTGACAAGTAGATTGTCGTTGATTATATTTGTAATTTTCATTAACTGTAATCTATTGGTCGGGGAGAGTAATATTTTTCCATTCAATCATTCGAGGAATATTTATATTAGTATCATTATTACTACTTTGGATTAGTAAGGTTTTGTCCTTAGGACTTTTGTGTAAGGCTTGAACATTCAAATTGGTTTTAATACATTTGTAATGAATACGATAAATTAAAGCAATATTATGAACCTTTTCTTTCATATTTGTAAATGAGCCAAGTAATTGAATATTTAGAGTTAAAGCATCTAATATATGAGGATCTCGTAGACTAAGGGTGAAATCAGGAAAATAATTAAAATGGATGGGTCCTTTGTGAAGACCAATTTCCATCATACCCATTAAGCTATCATTATAATCAAGAAAACGAGCATCTCTTAAGCATAGTAAAACAGAAGTATTTTTACCTTGTTGTGTTAATGGTTTGATTCCAACTTGAATTAACCTTAAATGAATAAAATTATGACCAGTTTTCAAATGATGTTTAATAGTATTGGCATCAAATAATTGACATGTTTCTCTAGGTTTTTCTAAAGTATAGATTTGTTCTTAAGTTTTAACATGAAGATTAACATTAAATGTATTCTGTATAAAAGTAGTTTTATAAATTTCTTTAATTGGTAATCATGGTATATTCCAACTTAAATCAATTTTATCATTTTGTATTTCTACATCTTCTTCATTGATTACTAAACCTTGATTAGGTATAGAAGGCAAAGTTGTTGACCTAGAACTAACTGAAGAATTACTTCTAAATAATTGACTCATTTTATCTTGAAATAGTTTACAGGGAGCTCAATACATTGTCTAATTTTATCATGTCTTCACATACTATGTTTTTACACATACCCAGTTCGGAGAACCCCTAAAATCCAACACTGCCTAATCAAAGGACTTACCTAGGACTTGGGACGAAGGATGGGTGGTTAATAGCAAAGTGGAAAAACACGGATAAAATTTTGGACAGATTAAGACAAAAGACTGTAAACAATTTCAACACAGGAGAATGAGTAGACTTTGGAAATAATGATTCAGTTAGTAACAAAATACAACATAAACAAGTCAAGCTTGACGAGCCGAGTTTATTCGAGCTCAAACTCAGCTCGTTTACTACACGTGCCACGTCGAGCCAAGCTGGGGCCTTAACGAGTCGAACCGAACCGAGTTGAGCCTGTTCGTGAACAGTTTGGTTCATTTTCAGCCCTGTCTAAAACTGACCAATGGGTTCTATCCAAGTTGGCTAACCCATTGGTTACCATGACTCTCCTTGTGAGAGGTCATGGGAGTGGAATGTGTTGGGTGTGTTTCTAAACTCTTATAGCCAACTCATACGAGTAGCACTACAAAAAAGTAGATATAGTTATAGCCTTACAAAAAATTATAATTAAAAGAAAGGAAAAAAAGAGGCGGCTATGAGTATAACAAATGAATGTAATGAAAATTGACAAAGAACTCAGTAAAGGGAAATTTTTAATTCCTTGATGATCATTCAAGGGAAAAAAAAACACTAAAGCTCATTAGTTTTTCTTGACTTTCGAACTCAAGTTCTTTAACTCTTCTCAACTTCTCTTTTGTTTACCTAAGAATGACGACAATAATCTTTTACAAAATTTAGTAATAAAAAAGTAGAAAAGAGGCAACATTAGATTAATGAATACTACAAGTTGTAAGCTTAAGTTGAATAGAGATGGCTATTCTGTGGGAATCTTAACCAAAATGGCCTCTGGAGGACCCACACAGAGAATGTGAGGGAAGCCTATTCTTTGGCTTCTCATTCCTCAAGGTTGGGGTGACTAGTGCAGTTGAGTCTCTTTTCCCTTCTGAGAGGTATTCGAGGCTAGCGCTTGCCATTTCTGAAATCTTATTTTCAAAGCAACTTATTGAAAGTTGAAACCATGAAGAAGTGAATGGTGAGAGGTGCTAGTGGTTTGGAGATCATTTGAAATAGTGACAGAGGTCTATGACCACCTTATGCACAATGTATATGTGAGTTTTTTCATGGATCTCAAAATTGGAAAGTACAAGTAGTTATCTTGGTGAAAGGGTGAGTAGGGTGACCTTGACAATTGGATTTTATTGGGGACCACTCTGCCTCCTTAGTTGCTAGACTTGTGATGGTCACTGTGTGTGTTCATAATTTTTTTGTTTTGTGTTTTTGTACATTCTCTCATTCTTTTCATTTGTTTCCTTCTCTGTTAGAAAAATTTGTTGTAGACACGTTATGTTTGCCAGTAAGTTGCAGGATGAACATTGTGATTCTCTTTTGTGACATTTTATAGAGGATCAGGTTGAATGAGAGAAAGGTCTTTCATGAAAATTTTTGGATGCCTGTTGAGATGCTGAGATTTGAGAAGACATCAGATAGTGGATCTTGTCGTTAGTTGTTTGTGTTATATCTCCCATTTTTGGGCTTTAAGTGAAGTATATGTGCAAATATGCTCTTTGTTTTTGTAGCTTTTCTTTTATATTGATTCAATCTCTCGTAATCAATCACCTGAAAAATATATCGTAGCACAATCCATTTATTTGTCCCATGTTATACAGTTTATTGGTATTATGAGTTTAGTACATAATTTATCATTGCAGCTGATAAATCTGATTGGTTTTTACACTTCAACGATATTTCCACATGAATCAGGAATTATACAGAGTCACTGGATTCAACAAAATGGGGCAAAGGAATATGATGTGCACGAGTCAGATGATTGATTTAGATCCGGATCAACTAGCCCAGTCCCATCTCCGTCCTGAACCTCGTGTTCTTTATGGGAGCGTAGCAAATTTTCCGCAGTCTAATGTCCACACAATATTACCAGCTGCTGGGAACACGGATAATTTCGATATTCATCATCTACCGGACAATCATGAAAATGCTTTATTTTATGGGATGACGCATTACAACGGTTTCCAGCATAATCACCCTGCTAGATATCTTGACTTGGGTGTTGCTACTGCATCTAATTACTATAATCCGTACATGACTCCGTTGGGTTCTAGAGTCCCTCTCCCAATAAATCAAGGGTCTCATGATCAGTTTCCATCTTCCAGCAATGGTGGAATTGTTGGAGTTCCGACAGTTGACTATGGTATGAACAATCACTTCATGGATGGTGTTGGAGGTTCATTTAAGAGGAAAAATGCAGATGGGATTCCAGGAAATTTCCATTATTGTAATGCCTCAGCTGGTTCTAGTTCTGCAATTGCCCCTTTAAATACAAGGAACATCGAACCCGGGATGACTCCAATGGATGCTGCATCTTTTTCACTCCCCAAGTACAGAGGGAATGACATACCATCAATTGTGGAAGTAGGATCTCATAGAAGTGCGAGGAATAGACCAGGTGCTGTTGGACCAGACTCTGTGTTGGGTCATAACCCTAACCATTGGACTCCAGCCAACTATCCAGGTCAAGTCTTTCAGACAGCCGGTTCTCCCTGGTTGGGCCAGCAGTTCAGCAGTAATAGTGGTGATGGAGGAGGAACTTTGACTTGGAGTCAGGCACCCCCTATATCGTATTTGCATGGTAATTTTTTAGGGTTTTTTGTGTTATCTATTCTTTAGCATTTTCTTCTTCATCCTTAGTATATTTCCAACAAGTTTTTTTTTTAGGTTATGTTTGGATCATAGATTTGAGTAGGGATTTGTGGAGGGAAAGGAAAAGCTAAAGTGATAAAAATACTCAAAGCCAAGATCCAAATACAACATTAAAGTATCATCAGATTTATCTTATGTCAACTTGTTCTTATATCGTTGGGTGGGAGCTTCCCTACCACTCATGTCAAGTGAGAAGGACATTGACTACTATTATTTCTAAAGGGACCATTTCACTAATCGTGTTCCATGGAAAGAAAAAAAAGACAAGGAAACTTGCATCATTTGATCTTAGTGTATGGTGTCAGTGATATATTCTTAAACATGTAGGATTTCAACTAATTACAAACCTCTCTCATATGTCTTGTCATTTTAGGGAGCAATGTCAATCGTGAATGCACAGAGGCAGGAAACATGGGTGTGCCGGGATATCAAGAGACAACTAGCAATAGAAGTTCAACACCTTTCTTGCATCTTCCTCCCATCCACCAAGGGCACCCCAATCTTCATCATTTACCACAACCCATGCAAGGAATGAGAGCCCAAAACATCAATTTCCTTTCTCAAGTAGCAACACCTTCTCACAGACTTCCAACAAATAGCACTTCACACACTGGTATGAATCCTTTCCAAGATGGCGTGGAGGTGGGGCCTAGATATGTGGGGCCTGTCCCACCAACTGGCCTTAGGATATACCGGCCTCACCGAAGGGCAATCATTCATGACGCAACTGCGAGCCGCCACAACCTTCCTCACTTGAGAGTTCTTCCAACAGACGTAATATTTTTTCTATATTTCTGCAATGTCCCTTTTATCCGAATAATTGAGAAAAGTATACTCTGTTAGTGACCATGTTTACCTGTGTCTGTATAAATTGGCTAAACAAAGTTGGTTGATTCGTGTAGGAAATTGCCATACTAGAGATTCCAGGCTATTATGAAGTAGGGAATTCCATTGATCATCACAGAGAAATGCGCTTGGATGTAGATCATATGTCATATGAGGTAATTGGGGGATTTATTTTTTCTTACGAATGCTTAGGTAGAATTCATTCGGAGGATCTGTATCATTATCATTATATATTAGTACAACTTATTAATGCGATGGCAAACCAAAGACTTGTACATAGTAAATTGACCCACCACTCAACTTATGCATTTACTAAATACCTCACCATAAGCACTCACATTGGACTTGAGTTCTTATGTGCACATGAAAAACCTCACTGACTTCCATCTATCTTCGGTGGTTCTCTACCACATACCCTAAGGTTGTGTTGACTTGAACCTCCAAATTAATTGTGTCCAATTGAACTTGTAGATTAATTGAGTCCAAGCTGTTGTGTTTGAATGTGGTCTAAAGTGTGGCAACCAGATATGTCAAAGAGTCCATTTGGACATGAGGTTTTACAATCATAACAATTGATTGCTTGTTAATGAAACACTCGCCTAACACTGTGCTGTCAACATTTTTGCTATACTTACTGCTGACATATTGAATAGAGAAGTAATACTCCCTCCGTCCCATAATATTAGTCCCTTATTCCATTTTTCATTGTCCCAAAATATTAGTCCCTCTTCAAAAATCAAGTACAAAAATAATATAAATTTCCCATTTTGCCCTTCTTTTAAATTCATAAATAATATAAAAAGAAAGTGTGGCAACCAGATATGTCAAAGAGTCCATTTGGACATGAGGTTTTACAATCATAACAATTGATTGCTTGTTAATGAAACACTCGCATAACACTGTGCTGTCAACATTTTTGCTATACTTACTGCTGACATATTGAATAGAGAAGTAATACATAAAATTCAGCTGCTGCAGTTATACATAAAATTCAATTTAATAACAATTACCGATTGCATAATTTATTGGTATGAATGCAAAAGACATACACATTATGTGATTACCATTGATCATTTCCCTGACAAACTCTGCTTGTCAATAGGGATGAAATGAGAGAGAGGCCATTACTCAGGGGATGGAGATTGACAGTGTTGCTATGGTGAAACTACAAAATGAACCTATAGAAACAAAAGATTAGTGAAAGTAGCCAAATGGAAGTATAGGGATTTGAGTGAAAAAGTGCATAGCTGATTCCTGAAACAAGAAATACTCTGTTGAGATAATGCGGACCCATGGAATTTTCATTATCTTAAACGATTTGTTGAGCGGATTAGACGCAAATCTAACAACTAACAAATGATTTTCGTTGATAAAAAAAGAGAGAGAAGATACTAAGCAACTTTGTAGCAGTAGAATGAAGGCAAATGCAGGAGCCAGCGTGTTTGTAATATGGAAAGCACATAATTTACCTACTATAAAAGCAAGGAATTTGAATGGGCGGTTTTGGGGCAGGGGTCACCATCTTCAAGAATGAAAACTAAATATCTCCGTGAGTTCCTAGTAAAAATTTCAAGTCAAAATTCCACAGTTTGATCTTTGAAACCTTGTGGCCAAACTACCCCAGACGCTGGGCCTAAGTTACTAGGATGAAGTTGCCTACGTATTCCAAGGATGGGAATCAAGCCGTACGTAGTTCCGGTTGAGGTTCACTCGGGTATTAACACTCTTCTTTTACGCTCTAACTTTTGCCAAGGCCGCCCTTCCGAGTTTTCAACCTTGCGAGCTCTGTTTTTCTTTTCTTTTCTTTTATTTTCATTTCTTTTCTTTTTTTCGTTTTCTTCATTTTTGTTCTTTTTCTCTGCTCTAACTTTTTCCTGGGTCGCCCTTCCGGATTTTCCGCCTAGCGAGCCTCTCAAGGATAAAAAAAAGTTTAACTTGTCCATTTTGATTGAGCCACTTAAGAGTTCCAATCACAATAAATACTCTCAAAGTTTTGGTCACACAATAAATACTCTGGTAGTTTTGGTATTTTTTGCCTATAGTCCCACATAATAAAGCATGTGGCATGCATTCTTTTATAAAAAGCCTCCTCATAGTTGCTACAGCGGCAACCTGGTAGTAGTGCTCATTGTGAGAATATAGAATATATTATTGTGTGTTGTGTACAAATTAGAATCCTATTAGAGATATGATTGTGTTAGAGTCCTGTTAGAGACATAATTATAATTGTATTTGTATTTTCCTTTTTGATTTAGGATTTAGGCTATATAATCTAAGGTCTGATTGTAATCTTTGATACATTGAATATATGAGATACAGAAAGCTATTCAAAAATCTGACATGGTATCAGAGCCGTTCTCTGATCCGAAACCCTAGAGCCGTCTCCATTACTCACTTGTTCGTGTTCGTGCTTGCTTCTCCCAGGCTCATTTTGGTTCGACTTTGGTGTGTGATTGTGCCTCATCTCAGTCAACTCATCTACTCAATCTAGTTCGTGACTCATCTGCTCGTGATTGTGCCTTGTCTCCGTCAACCCATCTGGATTTCTTCTCTGTTTGTGCTATTTGGTAGTCGCACCTATCCAACAGTTCGTCCCATCTAGTCATCGCCTCCTCACAGCTCGTCTTCTCTCTCTGGCTCTACTTCGTGGTCAACTCATCTTGGTTTTGCAAGACTTCGACCCATCTCTAGTTCAGTCTGTCGAAACCCCTAGTTCTCTCTCTGGTTTGAAGCTCTCTGGACAAATTTCGCGACCTAGCTGACTTCTTCTCGCTGCTCTCTGCCTCGCGATTGTCCCTGGTGTATGGTTCTCTGGTTGCTTCGTCGCATCTGTTGGTTGCATCGAAGAGAAGTTACCTCTCAGTTTCTCTCACTCCAAAGGGTTATGTTTGAGGCTAGTTCGACCCATTGGATTTTTGCATCTGAAATCCTCTAATATTGGATTATTGTCATATTATTTTCTGATATTACATTTAGACCTCATACTCTTTTGGATGTTGTACTGTGATGTTGGATATATTGGTTTTGTTGCTCCCATTAGCTTTCAGTTTATTATGATAATGACAGTTTCTGCTTCTGTAAAGCCCAAGAAAGGGCTCCTTGCTTCAGATGAGTGTGCCTACTGCCATCAAAGGGGTCATTGGAAGTACCATTGTCCCAAGAATGGATGTCTGGCTGTTCAGTCTCCTGCCGATTTTACTGTATCTGCTCCGTCTCCTGATCCTGACTTAACTCCCTTGATTGCTCAGATTAGGCAGCTTCGGCATATATTGTCTAACTCCCAGCCATCCCCATCTACCTCAATTGTTTCCTCTCTTCATTCAGGTTTGCTTGGGTCTTGTTCACGTATTTCTTCGTTTGTCTGGCTTTTTAACTCTGGTGCCTCTCATCATATGACTCCTCATCTCTCTTTACTTCAAAATTGCACTCCTCCTTTTCCTATTACTGTCAATGCTGCTAATGGGTCTGGTATGTCTGTTATATCTGTTGGGTCTGTCCTACCGTCTGCTATGTCTGCTGTCTCTATTCCATCTGTTCTTTATGTTCCTCAATTATCTGTCAGTTTATTATCTATCAGTTAACTTGACGCCTCTGGTTTTGATGTTATCTTTTCCTCTTCTATCTGTTCTATGCAGGATCGGATGTCTAAGTAGTAGATTGGGACTGATCGTAGAGTTGGGGACCTCTATGTAGTAGAGAGCTTGCATCTGCCTTTGACAATCTTTCCGACTGCCTTTTCCTCTTTTCAGTTAGATTCTCTGTCCAGTCCTTTCTACTTATGACATTCTAGATTAGGCATTTGTCTGCTGACCGCTTGCGGTCTTTGGCTCAATCTGGTATCTTGGGAAAAGTTTCTCCTAGTGAACTTACTGAATGTCAAGGGTGTAAACTCGCCAAGATGACAGCCTTACCTTTTCGTAAAAGCACTTCTATATCTGATAAACCATTTTCTTTAGTTCATATTGATGTTTGGGGCCCTTCTCCTGTTCTCACCAAAGGGGGTTCTGCATACTATGTGTCATTTGTTGATGACTGCACCCGTTACACTTGGGTTTGTCTTATGACTCATAAGTCCGATTTCTATCAGATATACCGTACCTTTCAGTCTATGATTACTACACAGTTTGAGTCTACTATTAAAGTGTTACGGTCTGACTTGGGTGGGAAATATTTTAAAACTGAGTTTTGTGCATATTTGGCCAATTTGGGTACCATTCACCAAACTTCCTGTACAGATACACTTGCCCAAAATGGTCGCGCTGAGCGTAAACACTGTCATCTCCTTGAGACAGCTAGGTTTCTTCTTCTCTCTGCCTCAGTTCCGGCTCCATTCTGGGGGGAGGCAGTTCTTACTGCTGCCTTTCTTCTCAATCGCATGCCTACTCCCATTCTTTTTGGTCGGTCTCCTTATGAGGCTTTGTTCTCCCAACTTCCTAACTACTCCCTCCTTCGTGTGTTTAGGTCTGCCTATTTTGTCCTTCTTCCCCGCAAAGATAGGACCAAACTTAGTGCCCGGTCTGTTCTTTGTGTCTTTTTGGGTTATAGTCCTACTCAGAAAGGTTATCGGTGTTACAACCCTGTTTCCCGTCGTCTTTATGTCTCCCGTTATGTTTCTTTTCTCGAATGTCTGCCTTACTTTCAGCTTCCTCCTGTCACTGCTTCGGTTTCCAAAGAGGATTTGGTTCACATTGACCCATTTCTTTCTGAGGTACCGTCTGATGAGTACATCTCCACAGTTCCTCCTGAGCTTGTTTCATCTCTCCTCTTGCTTCACCTTTGGCTGCTTCTCCTCCTTCAGTTTGTTCTCCTTCTCCGTTGTTAGTTTATTCTCGTCGCAAGGCTCCTCTTCCACCAGTTGTCTCTACCTCTACTGCTGCCGACTTTGATCTTGCTGCACACCGATATCCTACTCAAGCGCGTCATCCTCCAAACAGGTTAGGTTGGTCTAATACATGTTTTTCTGCCCCCTATCGTACTTTTTTGTCTGCTATTCACTCTTTTTCAGAACCTCAGTCTTACAAGGAGGCATGTCAGGACCCTCATTGGGTTCACGCTATGGAAGATGAGTTGTCTGCTCTACAGAAAACTAATACTTGGGAGCTGGTTCCTTTGCCTGTTGGTAAGAACTTGGTTGGTTGTAAATGGGTCTACAAAGTCAAGACTCATTCTGATGGGTCTCTTGAGCGCTACAAAGCTCGTCTGGTTGCCAAAGGTTTCTTTCAGGAATATGGTATTGATTATGAGAAAACATGCCCCTGTTGCTAAGATGACTACTGTCCGTACTGTGATTTCTGTCGCTGCTATTCGTTCTTGGCCTCTTTATTAGATGGATGTTAAGAATGTTTTTCTTAATGGTCATCTCATTGAGGAGGTTTACATGCGTCCTCCTCTTGGCCTTCACCATTTCTCTGGTTAGGTTTGTCGTCTTCGCGTGCTCTGTATGGTCTAAAGTAGTCTCCTCGTGCTTGGTATGATCGATTTCAGACTGTTGTTACCGAGCTCGGGTTTCATCCTTCAGCTTCCGACTCTGCTTTATTTCTGCAACATACATCGGCTGGTTTTGTTGCTCTCTTACTCTATGTGGATGATATGATCATCACTGGCTCTGACTCTTCTGCTATCTCTGAAGTCAAGCAGCATCTCTTACGCACCTTCGAAATGAAGGATCTGGGTCCATTACGGTATTTTTTTGGTATTGAGGTTGCTTCTTCTCCCAAAGGCTATTTTCTGTCTCAGGCCAAGTATGCTAATGAAGTCATTCATCGTGCTGGTCTTACTGATACTAAGGTTTCTGATACACCTATTGAGCTTAATGTGAAGCTTAACTCTATTGATGGTGTCCGTCTGGATGATCTCACTTTATATCGCGAGCTTGTGGGTTGTTTAGTTTATTTGACTGTTACTCGCCCTGATCTAGCTTATGCTGTTCATGTGGTTAGTCAGTTCGTTTCTGCTCCTTGCTCTACCCATTGGGATGCTTTGGTTCGCGTTCTTCGCTATCTCAGGGGTACTAGCTTTCAGGGCTTATTGTTGTCCTCTACTTCCTCTTTGGACTTGGTGGCTTATGCTGACTCTGATTGGGCCGGTGATGTTACTGATCGTAAGTCTACGTCTGGTTTCTGTATGTTTCTTGGAGATTCCTTGATCTCTTGGAAAAGTAAGAAACAATCAGTCGTTGCTCGCTCTACTGCCGAAGCTGAGTATCGTGCTATGGCTCATGCCACTGCCGAGATTGTTTGGCTTCGTTGTCTTTTGTCTGATTTGGGTGTCTCTCAGTCCTCTCCGACACCTCTCTATTGTGACAACCACAGTGCTATTCAGATTGCCCACAATACTGTTTTTCATGAACGGACGAAACATATTGAGATTGATTGTCACTTTGTTCGCTAGCATTTGCAGTCTGCCTCTATCTCACTTCCTTTCATCCCTTCAGCTTTGCAACTTGCGCATTTCTTCACCAAAACTCACACTATTGCTCGGTTTTAGTTTCTTCTTAGCAAACTCTCAGTGTTTTCTGCTAAAACACCTTGAGTTTGAGTGGAGGTGTGAGAATATAGAATATATTATTGTGTGTTGTGTACAAATTAAAGTCCTATTAGAGACATGATTGTGTTAGAGTCCAGTTAGAGACATAATTATAATTGTATTTGTATTTTCCTTTTTGGTTTAGGATTTAGGGCTATATAATCTAAGGTCTGATTGTAATCTTTGATACATTGAATATATGAGATACAGAAAGCTATTCAGAAATCTTACACTCATCACGTACAAAATATTTTTATTGTTAAGCAATTGAACTGCGTGATTACTGTGAACCAGCTTCAGTTTGAACCATTAGCTAGTTCAACCGTAGGTTTGGACGGATTGCTTTTTATGAATGAGTAGTGGATAAAAAATGTTCAAACATTTTTTTACAAATTTTAAAATCGAATTCGAAGCAACAGAATTCGAACTTAAAACCAGCAAAGGGCATGGAGCCCAAGACATTGTAAACCCACCTTTCAACCACTCCACTACATTAGAGTGTCTTTTATGTTTTTATAATGCAAGCAATATTATTTATTGATTTTAAAAATTGTCAATCCTCACGCTTCCGCACTTCTATTCGATGTGGGATTGATTCAATTGAAAGCTCATATAGCAAAGTTGTGATAAGTCAACACAACACATAAAGAGTATGGTGATTAACTTCGAAAAAAAATACAATTATTTCAATATTGGGCTTTCAACCGTTTTGAAGTTTATACATAGAATGTAGTAGAAATTTTGTGTTTGGATTGATTTTGGGAGATAAATTTTCAAAAAAATTATTGGGGAAAGAGTTTAAAATTTTTTTTGATTTGTCTGGTTGTATATTTTGAAAATAGTTTTGGAGTATGGAAGTTTGGGATGATTTGATATTTTGTTGTAGTTGAGTAAATGTGTGTGAGAAAAAAAGTGATTGAGAAGGAGAGAGGAGAGAGAAAAAGTGATTGATTGATGTACATGAGAGTGATTTTGAAATTTTTTTGAAAAATTTCCAACCAAACAAAATTTTGAATTTTTTTTTTCAAAAATTGAGAGTTAAACCAAACAAGGCCAAACTTTGATGTTCCATGCTTGTGTTGGGAAGAGCTGGGAGTATTAAGGCTTCTTTGGTGTAAAGAAAGAAAATTAATGCCATATACCTAACTTTTGAGTTTTAGCTCTATGATACCAATTATGTTGTTAGTGTATGATTTCATGTATTTACGATGTTTTATTTTAGAAATAATGAAAAATATTAGAAGAAATATCTAAGAAAATTTAGTTTTTAGGGAAATATTAATGCCATGACACTTTTGTTTGGAGTTGAGAACATTTCATATGTTGTTTCAAAATGCCCTGTTTTATATCACACTTTCTCTTTCTCTCCTTCACCCCTCTCTCTTCTTTAATGTTTTTTTTTTTGTTCCTTCACACTGCCACTGCTTCCCCACAGACACCATCATTGCCACCTCCACTGTCAGCTCACTATCACAACTACAGCCATAGCTCGCTGCACCAACACCTTCTGTCTGCTAGCTCCAAATTTGACCAATCACCACAATAATACCACCACTGCAACTTCCACCACGAGCACCCATGCCAGCTGTCACCTCATCTGCATCCAACATCATTACCACCGCTCTGATCGACACCTCTAGGACTCCCTCTGGCACCAAACCCAACTTCAAATCTCCCATCATGACCCAATCCAATCCGACTCTTGAGCCTGTTGTTTTATCACAAACAAGATAGGAAGCTTGATAACAATTAATTGGGTCACAATGAATTTATAAATTAATCACACTCAAGTTACATTCTACTCACAAATATGCAAGAAACACTTGCTATATGATCAATACACCATCTATTAATGGAAATTTGAAAATCAAGAGATTGAAAGTAAACCAAACCAAATTAAAAGAAACCCAAGTGTGAATTCCAGCAAATACCTAAGGGTGAAAATCAAAATCATAAATTCCGGCAACTACTAATTTATTTTTCAGCCTCTTAGTTTTCCATCAAAATCAAAATTTCCCCATACTAAACACAACTGGAAATCCTAAACAAAACACCTCACACTTGGTATCACACTCTTCTTTTCCTCATTTGGTTTCCAATTCTTGTTACTTAGGTTCCCTCACTTGGTTTGTCCACAATGGGAGCTAGGCCGTCCCTATTTACAGTTGTAGTAAGGAATAGTGCAAATAAATCCTAGATTACTACCCTTACATTTGTGATGGATATTGTAGTGGAAATTGCTTTCTAGTGAAGGATATATTATGGATATGGAATTTTGTAGAGGGAGACAAATATCCAAAGGGAAGAAATATTTATAGAGTGAAGAGGAAATAAGTTTCTAGAAATGGAGAATTATTGTTGACTCTCTACAATCAATGTGTTGTTTTTAACTCCCACAAATTGACTAATTGAGCACACTCATGACAATGAATTTTCTATTCCAGGAGCTTCTTGCATTGGGAGAACGGATTGGCAATGTAGCCACAGGGTTGTCAGAGAAGACCATCTCAAGTCATCTGAAAACCCGAATGTACATTTCATCTCCTACTTTGAATCTGGAAGAAGCAGCTTCTTTGGACCAGGAAACTGATTTCTGCGTTATATGTCAGGTATTGTTATAACTCACTTTTATGTATCTTTAATGATTGAAAATTTTGAATGTACTTGAAATGAACAAGCGGTGAATAGGTGTAGATGCACCCATAGTTTATTACATGTAATTCAAATATGAAGTTTATGCTTAACATTCTGAGTTATTGGCTTAAGTTCTTGCTGAATCTTGTCAGTCAGTCTTTAATAATTTTCCAGTTTCTTATTTGTGAATTAGTTGTTGATGCCAAATTGTCTCCAAGTCACGTATATATATATCGATAAGTAAAGTTCATCTTCAAATACGGAAGTTATTGCTGTGATTAAGGCATATTAATTGCTCTAGAAGCAAGCATATTTTCCTTTTCCCTCCCATCGACTGGTTTTTAAAAAAAATTTTTTGACAAGAAAACTATACTTTGCTGGTGTCATGCTCATTGTCACCATTTATATGACTTGAGATTAAATAAAGTTATCTTGTTGAAAGTTTTTGTGAATGGTCATTTGAGATTTTTTTCAGACTGATTATAAGAACAAAGAGAAGATTGGAACTCTTGATTGTGGACACGAGTACCATGTGGATTGCGTGAAAAGATGGCTGCTCATCAAGAACACCTGTCCCATCTGCAAATCTGCGGCGTTGACCACATAGAGAAATGAATTACGGAGAGGGGGTTGATGGTTGGAAGATCAATTCAAAAATGACTGCCCTTTATTATGTTCCTAAACTACAAAACTCAAAACAGAGTTGGTATTATGCCATGTTATTCTATTTATATATATACATACAGAGACATGACCAACACAGGTCAACCCTGTTCAAGAACATTTTATTTGTTGGCCTCATGTCTGTTTTATCAAACTTGTACAGACTTTTCCAATTTGTTTTTGGATCATCATGCATCATGGGGGCTGTTAATATGACATTTATGTATTCATTATGTGTATATTTTTTGGAAATGTTGCACAGAAGTCTGTTCAATTTGAAATTTGATCTATTATTTTTGTTTACAATTGCTGCTTAAGTATGCTGGCATTAGAGAAAGTTTAGTTATCTGTGTAGCTTCATCCACTTTAAAAAGGAATTGGCATTTCAAGGTAAGGAAGCAATGGAACTCGAGTCTAACTCAAGTGATTGTACCTTTGGAATTTTAGAGGGAGGTTTAGATTTCGAGTTTATAGAGAAGCGATGTTGAACATGACAATTTCATTTCGCATGATATTCATGCAACATTTTGTACTACTTATTCTTTTAGTCTTGATAATCGCTCGTGTTTTACAAGTCTAAGAGCTAGGGCATTTGCTTCTACTCCCTTTCTCATGAACCTCTATTTTTTTTTTTGGGAGAGCTAACCAAATTTTCTTTAACTACTCTATTTGATTGCCTAGAATAAAAAAAAAAAAAAAATTATGTAAAAAATTTGATGGCCTGGTTGAGTTCATGTTTTACTGGGGCAAGTCTAGTTGACCAAAATCTCTGCACCTAAGAGATTAAGGTTGTGTTTGGTTTTAACAATTTGAAGGGCATCACTCATTCAAGGAGTATAACCTTTATTCAGAATAGCATTTTCGGTCTAAATTTAAAAAATGAATTTAAAACTTTTAAATCAAAAGAAGATTGGAAAATTAAGTTAAATTCTACAAGAATGGTTACTTTTTCTATAAGATCTTTATAAAATGTCTCTCTTATCTCTATGCAATCCTTCACTTTAAGAATAATTAATCTACTCTTCAATAGTTAGTTAATCTTTCTACGATTGTATAAAGTTGAATATCAAATTATTTCATTTCAAATTTTCTTAAGAAACCAAGTCGGAGAGTTTTAGGTTGCATTTGGTAGAACTTTCTAACTATGATTTGAGAGTAGGAGTTGTATTTTGAGTTTGTGAGTTTTAGAATTATGATTTGCGTGTGGAAAATTTGTTTGATGAAAGAGTTTTGAATTGAGTGGGAAATTTTTGATGTACCATATGATATTTGATACAAAAACTTATAACTCATAACAAAACATATAACTCAAAATTTTATTAAAACACATAAAAAAAATTTAAAAATTTAGAAAATATTTTTTTTGAGTATATAAAAATTAATATATGTCAATTGCAAAAAAAAAAAAAATTGTACTGTTCCGGTCAGTCGGCCGGTCAACCGGCCGGATGATCGGTGAGACGCCCGGTGAGATGATCGGTTAGTCCAAATTTCTCGCTTTCGACCGCGTTTTCAAAAATAAACGTGGAATTAAGTTTTGAAATTCGTAAACAAACATCGTGTTCAAATTAAGCTCTAAAACGTTGTACCAAACACAGCCTTATGTTGATAGAAACAAGACCTCCATCCTTATTATGACATCAGCAATACTATATACTCAAAAAAAAATATATATTTAAAAAATTATTATAAAAAAGAAATCAATGGCCGACATGTTGTACCTCTGTGTTAATCTATACAAATCACCTCACATCGAGCAGTTAATCGGTCAGAAAAGACATATATTGTCTATCTCCTACAAATCCACATTTTGTCTTCTAGTCATTCTTGTTCACTGTTTGGATGATCCACAAAATAGGAGTTAGCTGAACCATAAAATAGGAGGAGAATTCTATGATATACATTACCTAAAAGATGCATACTACGTATGGCAGTTACAATATTTATAGCTGTGGAGATATTATTTTAAGTTGTCTACGGAATTTAGGTGGTTAGCTGAGGTGTTACGTGGGTGATTTTGATTGACCGAGATGTGATTAGATCATATCTGAATCTGAGAGATTTGAATAGGGAATATCAGACTATCTGTTTAAGTAAAGTTGGACAGAATTGATCTTAATCTGAATAGGAGAAGTCTTAGATAAGTAATATCCTTATAAATGATAAATTCTTATGAAGTAAGACTGTTAGGAGAAGTAAAGCATTGATCACTATACAAAGAGAGCATATCGTAGGTCTAAAGTATGATTTACTTGAGAGTTTTGTACTTTAGCTGATATCTTTGAGAGATAAGTTGACTGATTTAATCGTCGGAATGCCTTGAGTAGACGAGCCACCGGTCTTGTTGTCTTTCTGTGTGCAGATATTGGGCTTTTTTATTTTTACACGTACTCTACGACTTAGTTTCCAAGATATCGACAAAGAGGTCTAATTTGGTTGTTGAGAGGGTAATTTATAAGTAAATTGGGCCGAGCTGAGTAATGGGCCGTTCGATGGGCCACGGTAGAAAAGGGCTTGGCAAGTGGACTGTAGTAGTAGCGCGGTCCAAGTGGAATAACAGTTACCACGGTCAGAGTGGAGTTAGTTCGGTCATAGTGTTTGAAGCTAAGGTATGATGGCTTCACACGGTGGACCTCGCTGTGGTTAGCACGATCGTAGCAGGCCGTAGATTAGCCCGGTTTCAACAGGCTACCGAGATACAACTAAATGAGAGCCAAGTTGGCTTGGCATTGCGCATTGGAGCACCAAGCTTGGTTAGCTCGGTCTTAAGTTAACAGCCCGGTTGGAGTATGCATAACCAGGATACAGGCACTGAAGGGAAGATCTGAGCTGGGTTAGCGCGGTCGTACTGCCATCTATCCGGGGTAAAACCATCTCACTTGGTTTAAGCAGTGAGGGGGGTGTTGAAGGATAAGCACTATCTTTCAGGAGTGTGATTCCTAGGAGGACTCTGCAAGGAGGAATAAGAGTCCCACTAGAATTATGCCACGCGGAACCTATAAAAGCTCACAACATCACCTATAGAGAGGTAACACAACTTTGATTCTCGAATACACAGAGCTTTTGTCTATTTGTCTATTTTGCTGACTTAGGCATCGGAGAGGTATCCGACACACACCCGCTGGCTAGCTCACGTTTGTGTTTTCAGGGAGTAAAACGACGACGTTTGGAGGAGCGTAGACTTGATCAACAGGATCACACGAGAAGATTATTTCTTGCTCGTACAATTGGGGCGGTCTGTGAGAAGCACAGAAAGAACAAAACCTCTTGATCAAAGTTTTCCTCGCTAGATTCGACGCAATGGCACATAATGAAGATTTGCCACAGTCCGCCATTGACGGACAAGCCCTAGAGGGGGGGGGGGGAGGTGCAAAGGTTTGCCTTTTATCCCTCCTATGGCGGATTTAGAGCCCCAGCGACAGAACCCCCGGAGGAATGCAAGGGGGAGGCGGACTAACAGCCCCCGTCGCTCTCAAAGTCCAGAAAGACAGAGGCGGAGGATCGATCCTCAAGTTCTGGAGGATCGCGTAAAAGAACAAGACGAGTTACTAAGGAAGATGGCGTCGGACATGGAGGCTATGAAACGCCAGATCAAAGGAAAATGGGTGGCGACAGGAGAAGGGCACAAAAGCAACACGCCCCCTCGCCACTCAGAAGATCGTGGTATGCATACCACGCCATCGCAAGCAGAGAATAGGAGCCTCAGAACAGGCGACACTTAATCAAGGACTTCTAGGACTCGTTACTCCAAGTTTGAGAGAACGAGAACATTGAGGTCTTACATTGAGGGAAGCACCTATCGGTCCTCATGTATGCACCAAACATCATCCGGGCAAACGGAGTTGCCTAGATCATCCGACTTACGGACTGTGCTTGAAAAAAGGGTACGACGGAAGGAGGATGCTAGGGCGCGCGACCCGCGTAGAGTTTCAGCCCTTCAGCGGTTGGCTCCTCGGACGCATGGAAACGTCGAGGTAGGAATGCCAATACCACACCTTGCCTACGAACCAACAGATAAAGCATTGGCAAGGCTACATAGCTCGCCGTTTGTTCCGGCGATTGAGAATGCACCATTACCTTCAGGCTTCATCCAGCCTAAATTTATGACTTACGAGGGGAAGACAGACCCTTGCATGCACCTAAGCCACTTTCGTCAGGTCATGGCAGTATACCAGCGGAACGAGGCTTTGATGTGCATCCTATTCCCATCCAGCCTTGGCGACCTAGGTTTAACCTGGTTCGAAAGGCTACCAGAAGATAGCATAGCCTCTTGGGCGCAATTAGCGGAGGTGTTCATGATAGGGTTCAGAACGAATATCAAGACGCTAGTAGAGGTCGATCAGCTACTCTCCATTGACATGGGCGACAAGGAGACGTTGAGATCCTACAACAGTCGTTATTGGGAGACCTTCAGCCAGATAGGAGATTGCCCCACAAATCTCGCCATCGCGCAATACAAAAGAGGTCTTCCAGTCAGAAACAGGCTGAGGGACTCAATTACCATGACGCCCCCCTCACAAAGGAAGCCTTAATGAAGAGGGTACACCAGCACATTTGGGTGGAGGAGGATGGCGCCCGTTCTAAAACAAAGTCTGGTACAACCGTAATACCAGATAAAAAGACTTCGGCAAAAGTCAACGCGGTAGAACGTCCAAGCAGAAACGAGCGAGGCAGGCGGGACAACGGAGAGGACCACGATAAAAGGTGGTTGAGAGTCCACACTGTCATTACCATGGTGTTCAAAAAACCGATCTATCGGATTCTCAGTGTGATACGCGATGAACCTTTCGTCAGATGGCCAGCTAAATTGGGAGAGGCACAAAAGGACTATGACAAAAGATCCCGATGCACCTTCCATAAGGAAAAAGGGCACCGCACTGAGAATTGCCCGCCGTTGAGACAGCAACTGGAAGGGTTAGTGGCAGCTAGGCATCTGGACCAGTACATTGAGGGAGGGACGCAGCTAGCCCCCCAGAACCATGATCACCCAAACGGAATGCCGATCGATGCCCCACCTCAAGGTGTGATAAATGTAATACATGGGGTATTCGAACCTAAGCGAGACTGTGAGCTCAGGGGAATGATCAAGAAAGCTGAGCACTTAAGGGAGGTATTAAGTGCGCAACCTACCATTAAAAAGGGGAGAACAGAGGCCATGAACGTCATGTCTTTTTCAGACAGAGACTTGGCAAAGATATATATTGCCCTCACAATGATGCACTGGCCGTCACTCTCCGCGTCAAGGATTACGA